CCACTGGGTAGAGCAGGAAACCCAGACACTTCAGGAGGTGCCACAACGGGTGCACTCCTGGACTGGCCTTCGAGGTACATGCTGGGACTGCCAGCCCAGGTGTTAGAACATGGAGATGTCTCCTCCAGTCAGTAAAGAGCAGCTGTCCCAGGCCTGGCCAATCCCCTAAGGGTCACCCTCCACATCACCACCATGTGACCTAAAGCCACTTATGTTTTACTTTTTATGTGTCATAGACTCTTTTGCTATCACTCTGTTAAAGCCTATGGACAATATGAAGTTTATAAGGACATACAATATATTGTACTCTTGTAAATGTTCATGTATTAAAAACTATATATTTAGGTGCTGGAAAGATGTGGCTCAATGGTTAAGAGCACTGGATGCTCTTTCAGTTCCCAGCACCTACATGGCAGCTTACAACCATCTATAACTCCATTTTAAAGGAATCTGATGCTCTCTTCTGTGCTAGTGCAGGCAAAACATCCATACACATAAAATAAAAATAAAATCTTTGGGGTTAGAGAGATGCTCAGTGGTTAAGAGCATGTACTGCTCTTGCAGAGGACCCAAGTTCAGTTCCCAGTACTCACATCAGGCAGCTCACGACCACTGTGACTTCAGCTCTAGGAAGATTTGATGCCTCTGGCCTCCATGGGCACCTGCACACATGTGCCCATACCCATACCCATATACACACATACATATAATAAAAATAGGGCTGGGTGTGGTGATGCATACCTTTAATTCTAGCACTTGAGAGGCAGAGGCAGGTGAATCTCTGGGTTCAGGGTCAAGCCTGAGTGAGTTCCAGGCCAGTCACAGCTACATAATGAGACCCTGTTTCAAAAAACCAAAAAATAAAATAAAATAAAAATAACAAAGTTTCCCATAAAAAATAATAAAGAAGGAGTACATGAAGTTATCAGAAAAAAGTGATGGCGAGATATGGGAGGAGTTGGAGGGGAGGGAGTGAGCATGGATTTGATCAAAACAACTTAAATGCGTGTATGAAATTCACAATAAATTATTTATTTAAAAAAATAGGGGCTGGGCATAGTGGTATACGCCTTTAATCCCAGCACTTGGGAGGCAGAGGCAGGCAGATCTCTGTGAGTTCAAGGCCAGCCTGGTCTACATAGTTCCTGAGTTCCAGGACAGCTGGGGCTACAGGGAAACCCTGTCTCAAAAAAGACCAAAAAAAAAGAGTAAAAGTTGAATCTAAAAGTAAATAAAAACAAATGTAATTTAAAATAAATATATATTTAAAATCCTACACATTCACATATATGTGAAAATATGTTTAGTCTGTGCTATATGTATTTATTATGTGTTATAAACACTCTGAAAAAAATGTATATATATATATATATTTTGAGACAGGGTCTCCCTGTAGTCCCATCTGGCCTAAACCTGGCTATGTAGACCAGTATGGCCTCAATCTCACAGACATTTTCTTGCCTCTGCCTCCCAAGTGCTGGGATCAAAGCTGTGTGCCACCACACCCAGTCTGAAAATACTTGTTTTTAATTTTTTTTTTTTTTTTGAGATAGGGTCTCCCTGAAGTCCCAGCTGACATGTAGACCAGGCCTTGAACTCACACTCACAGAGATCTGTCTGCACCATCACACCTGACTTTGTTTTTAAGGTTTTTGTTTGTTTGTTTTTTGTTTTTGTGGTCTTTTTGAGACAGGGTCTCCCTGTAGCCCCAGCTGGCCTGGAACTCACTATATAGACCAGGCTGGCCTTGAACTCACAGAGATCCGCCTGCCTCTGCCTCCCAAGTGCTGGGACTACAAGTGTGCGCCACCACGCCTGGCCTTTAAATTTCTTTGTAATGCTGGGGCTTGGAGCCTAGGTTCTCACACATGCTGGGCAAGAATTCAAATATTGCCACTGAGCCACATCCTCAGACCAATATCTGTGATCTCCTTTTCTTCCTCCTTGTTTTGTTTTGTTTTGTTTTGTTTTGTTTTGTTTTGTTAAAGAGACAGCCTCTCATTGTGGTGACCAGGCTGGCTTTGAACTCCTGAGCTCAAGTGATCCTCCTATTTCAGTTTCCTGAGTGCTGGGGTTAGCCTGCATCACCACACCTGGCATGATTTCTAGTGACAAAGTCACAGGTACTGCTAAAGCTGTTGTGATTTGTTGTCAGTACTGCTACATTGCAATTAAAGATTAAAATGGTTACATAATTTTGTGTGTATATGTGTGAGTGTGCTTGTGTATATATATGATGTATGCTCATATATGTGGGTGTATGTGCCTGTATACATGTGTTCAGAAGCCAGAGTAGGATGTTGCTCTATCTAGGATGTTGCTCTATCTCTCTCTGCCTTATTCCTTTGAGACATGGTCTCTTACTGAACCTGGAACAAGGCTGTCAGCCAGCAAGCCCCAGTGATCCTCCTGTCTCTGCCCACCACAGTGTTGGGTTAGAGGCCTGTGTGCCCACACCCAGCTTTTTATGTGGGTGCTGAGATCCCAACTCAGGTCCTCATGCTTGTGCAGCAAGGACTCTTTTTAAAAAATATTTTATTATTTTTTATTTTATGAGTATAAGTGTATTTCTTGCATGTATGTAATTGCAGTCGTGTCATGCAATGCCCAAGGAAGTCAGAAGAGGGCGTTGAAACCCCCTGGAACTGGAGTTACAGATGGTTGTTACCACCATGTGGTGCTGGGAAATGAACCTGGGTCTTCTAGCAAGAGCAGCCAGTGCTCTTAACCCACTGAGCCATCTCTCTAGCCTCATAGCAAGGACTCTTTTTTTTTTAAACATTTTATTATTTTTATTTTATGTGTATGAGTGTATTGCCTGCATGTATGTAAGTGCACCCGTGTTGTGCAATGCCCACGGAGGACAGAAGAGGCCATAGGATCCCCTGGAACTGGAGTTACATCCAAGCCCGCAAGGACTCTTATTCAAAGCTCTTGATGATGTATTTTTTTCTTCTAAGTTAGGCGCTTGGGATCCTTTTCTTTTAAACTCTAATTAGTTTGTTTGTGACAGGATCTCATGTAGCTCATGTTGGCCTTGAATTCGATGTGTAGCTGAGGTTTGATGTTCTATTGATCCTTCTGTCTAAGTTGTGGGATTACAGGTGTGCACCACTTTGCCCTGATAGTTTTAAAACTTTTGTGGAATCCTTTTTGAAAAGAGCTAATTCCTCACAAACTGGGGATTTACATTCTGCACCCACTTCTGATTTAACCCATGAGTGGCCAGCAGGGGTGTCGGCCCAGTTTTTAAAGACAGGACTAATCTGGTTTCAAACAACCTGAAAACATCAACCGAAATCCTAGCTCCTTATCACTTGCTGCCTTTGCTCTGGGGGCCATTTCACATACAGATGTGCTGAATGGGCCCATGGGACAGATCTGATGGTAGACCCCTGCAGATGCCTCCTGTTTGTGTCCTAAGGCGAGACCCACCTGAGGTTCACATGGTGCTTTTGGCTCCCACACCTGACAGATCCCTCTGCAGATGGAACTGTGTCTCCCACCCTCTTTCTTGTAGGGTGTTCTGAAGTGGGACTGTATGAGCTCCTGACCCTCCGGAGGCTGTCCGTCAAGGTCTCCAGGGCCAGCAGTGCATGTAGCACCAGGTTCTGCTCAACCATGGAACTCAGAGCCCCACATTTGGTATCTCTCCCAGGTGGTGTCAAAGAGACACAACTGGGACAGGGCAGTGAGTCTTATGTGAGGAAATTAGGGGCCTGGCAGGGACGCATGCAAGGCATAGGTGTCAGTAGGAAGAGGAACTGAGGGATCGCACCTTCAGCTTTCCTCTGGATAGGCAACCTGGAACTCCTGTTTTTGCAAGTTCTCCTTGGATGAGGTCTTGCCTGCCTGCTACTCAGCCCAATCTAGAAGTCCTCCTAGGATTGGAGAGATGGCTCAGCAGTTAAGAGTGCTTGCTGCTCTTCCAGAGGACCCAAATTCAGTTCCCAGCACGCATATCAGGTGCTTACAACTACCTATAACTCCAGGGGATCCGACATCTGGCTTCTGTATGCACCAGTACACAGACACATGTACACAAACATACATGTAGATGCACACACAGACAAACAAATTTTTAAAAAGATTTCAGAAGTCCTTCTAGACACCTCACTTTGGATTTGGAAATGCAACAGTACTCAGTGGATAAAAGAGTGACATCACTGGCTCAAGACATCTGTGACCAGTGTGGCCTGGCCCTTCTGCTTGGGAAAAAGAGGTTTGGAAATGAAGGCTCAGTAGCTGAGACCACAAGGCACTTGCTTTATTGTTCCAGGACAGGGGACAATGGTAGGTCATTGAGGGATCTGCTTGGGTTGTCCCCTCGTGTGAGCTTGGGGACAACCTTTGGAGCTTCTTCTCTCTCCCAGGGAGGGAGGCTGAGGATCCCACTTGGTAAGCCATATGGGCACCTGCATCACAGCTCCAGGAACATCCTGGCTACTTCCTGGAGCAGAGAGAGGAGGGGGTCATCGGGCCTCCCCCATCAGCCTGTACTAGGCTGCAATTCCCTGGATGCCTAGGCTGCCCAAGACAGTTGGCAGCAACTAGTAAGCTAGAGTCTGAACTATGTGAACTTCTCTTTGAGAAAGAATGAAAGGAAAGTAAACTGGAGGGGACACTTTCTGTGCCCCGAACTAGGACAGGAGGACACATTCAAGTTTCTGAGGACAAGGTTTTTTTCCAAACACTTTGTGTTGGATTTGGGCTCAGTTTGGTCATGGGGTAGATGCTGCCCCTCCTGTGTGTCACCCTGGGGGTGGCCAGAGTAGGTGCTGAGGATGTACCTGACAGAGCCAGTACTATTAAGTAGCAGGCCCCTGCCAGGGGTCCACAGGCCACATTCGAGGAGGAGTCCTTGCTGTGCTTTTGGAATGAAGACGGAAGAATAAATATAGGAACTTCTGGGAGAGAACATGACTGGAGGGGGCCAGGCCTGCAGAGCACATGGGAATTAGACAGGGTTTGGGGGGAATCTTTGATCTGTCATGAGAGCACTGAGCTTTGGTAACCAAAGCCTTTATTCCTTAGCTGTCCCAGAAATGAAGTCAAGCTCTCTGTGATGTGCTGTAGATACTTCTGGGTGTAAGGCACATGGGCAGGTGTGTAGAGTGCACGTGCACAAGAGCAGAAGTGCGAGTGAGCTGGCACTGGGGGGAGTGCTTTTGTTTCTCTCCAGGATGCTTGTCCTCCAGAGGCCCTGTGTGAAGAGCGGGTAGAAATGCAAGAGAGGCAGCATCCTGGATGGGTCCTCTATCTTCCAGCTTCTAACAAATTGACTGAGTGGCATTGGAGGCAGGCGTTTTCCTTCCTTGACCTTTAAAGTGAGCCCAATGTGGGCAGCCAGCTGGGACTTTCAGACCAGGCAAAGACTGGAGCTGACACTGAGCACAGCTCATGCCAGCGCCATGGGCTTAGAGCCAGGGCTGAGGTACATGGTAGGGCTGGCAGCAGCTGAGGAGGGTGTGGGCTCCAGTTCCACAAAGGCTGAGTAGAGAGTGCTGAGGTGCAGGTCTCCCAGGGTCCCAGAGCCACCGCTGCCTGGTGGTGCCAGTTCACCTGCCCCATTGCCTGTCTCTGCCAGACAGGGACCTGGGGGGAAGCAATGGGCTGGTGGTGGGGGTGGCAGCATGGAGGATGACGACGGGGATGAGGTCACCAGTACCAAGGGATCGAGGGCCAAGCTGTCATCCTTCAGTTGCTCCCACAGATTTCCTAGTTGGAGGGGTGGGGAACAGGAGAGGAGAGAAGTGTCACTTGGGGAACCTCAGAGAGCTAAGTCCAGTCTGCCCCCTACCCAAGCTTTTCACATGCTTCAGATAGCAGGATTGGGGTGACCCTGACTGGGAGCTAACTCTGGCATCAGCTGTGTGACCTCAGGTAGTGGCTGATCCTCTTTGAGCCTCAGATTCCAACTCTCAGGTGACACAGTGTGAAAGCCATAGATGCAAGTGATGCAAAGGCCATGTATTTGAGGGGAAAGTTGAGGGTCCCAGGAACTCTTCACTCAGGCTTCTGCCTAGGTTACCAAACAAAAGGTGGGTTTGTAGCCCAGACCAAAGATCTTCCCACAATGCACCACTAGACCTGATGAAGTAAATAGGCCTAAGCCTCTGCTATCACAGGACCCAAGAGATGGAGGACAGAGCCAGAAAGGATACCTGACTCTGAGGAACAAACAGTGCTAACACTCAATCCCACTCTGGGTCCTGTAACCTGCTTCAAGGTAGGCTAGTGACTAGAATACCTCGTCCTGGGTATCAGCACTGTAGGGCTGAGAAGGAAGACCTGGCAACCTTGGGTTGGTCTTGGTCTCCTGGGTTCCAATCCTAACTCCTTTCTGGTTAAGTGACCTTGAGTGGTTTGTATGACTGTGTGCTTCTGTGAAATGGGTTTAATATCCCCTCCTATTCCATAGGCCCAGATGGGAGAACACATGTTCAAGTCATTAGCAAGATGCCTGATACTCAGTAGGAGCTTGAGGAGATGCTAATTAAGGGCTTTATTTTGGTTTTGTGGTGCTAGGGATTGAACCCAGGGCCTGGGGCATGCTAGGCACATGCTCTACTCCTGAGCCACATCTCCAGCCCTTCCTCTTCAAGTGATGTTTACAGTATCCCACATGGCCTCCTCTATAGCTGCTTTCTCTCTGCTTCAATAGCTGGGCTGGGTTGAGGATCTATGTGCAGCTATTTCTAATAGTCTAAGGTTGGGATTAGCAGCCCCCTCCAAATCTTCTGGGGTCAGTAGCAGGCCCTGGGGGTGCAATGCAGTTTAGATGGGAAGGGGCAGGACTTATATGAGAAGAGATAGGACTTAGATAGGAAGAGGGTGGAGCCTGGCTGCCTGTTGAGTAGAGCAAGCAAGATGGAGAGGAAGGGATAGACCCCACCCCACCCAGGTGTCTATTCTCAAATCTCTCTAAGACTTTCCCAGCTCTGAGGGCTTACATTCTACAGAGTCTGTCTCCTGCAGTGAAGTGTCAATTCTGATAAAAGACAAATACTTCTGGAATGTTCAACATCCCAGTCCCTCATGATCAAATATGCCATAAAATTTCTAGCTCTTCCCAGTGTTGTCAGAACTGAGTGACTTGATGATGAGGTTGGCTGGGACATGTTCAGTACACCAGGAGGAGGGAGATGAGCAAGGACAGTTCACCCCATGTCCTGGATGGCAGGAAGCAAGTCAGTAGTTAGCTTGGACATTCTCTGCTTCAAGTGACTAGAAACCCAGTAGCCAGCAGGTGGCAGCCTAGAGACATGAGACAACCAGGTGACATCGGAAAGAGCACCTCTTCCAGTCCTGTTCTGCCCTCCCTTTCCCTATCCCAGCTTACCCTGGAAGTCAAAGTCAGTGAGAGAGGGGTTGATGGCATCCAGATCAGTGCCAAGGTCTCCATCTGGCAGTAGGGTGTCATGCACAGTCCTGGCTGGGGAAGGCTCAGCCAGCAGCTTGGCCGTATGGCTGGGTGGTGTGTGGGCAGGTAGAGGTGAGTCCTGGGGGGTGCTTGGCTGGGCCCGCAGCTCAAGATGCCCATCTGGTTGTGGGAACAATGGCTGCGGGGGACCAGGAGGGGCTAGGCTGGGGGAGAGGTGTGGGTAGGTCTGCCCATAGCAGGAGGATGCATGACCCCCCATTAGGTCCTGCAGGGGGTTCTTGCCAGGCATGGGGCCTGGAGCTGGGTGCATTGAGTGCAGTGGCTGGGAGAGCGCAGCTGGGGGTGCCAGGGGCCGGATGGGGCCTGGGCCTGCTAGCCCAGGGGGCGGACAGCCCAGTAGTGGAGAGCCCAGCTTCTCCCTCTTGTCTCCAATAAGGCTGTCCAGCTCTTCTGAAAAAGCCCAAGAGAAAACAACATAAGGCCTCTCTCTTTAACCATCATCCAGCCTTGGGACCCTCCCTTAGGCTCTGTCCCTGTCTTTCCTGGCTCATGGGTTGCCCTGCCAGGCTCACCTGGCTTGGCCATGCTTTTGCGCACAGCAATGGGGTCCTTCCTTTTCCACTTCTGCAGCTCCTCCTGCATCTTGTCAATCTTGGCAGGATTGAGGGCCCACAAGCAGCCCTTTCGAGAGGAACTTCCAGATTTGTTCTCTACCTTCTCGAAGCACTTGTTGAGAGATAGGTTATGACGGACAGAATTCTTCCAGCCATCAGGCGCAGTCTGCCAGAGCAGAGCAGAGTAGAGAAAGAATTCAGGTTGGGCTCAGACAGCAAGAAATGGCTCCAGGTTTTGGGTTCTAGAGAATTCCTTCACCAACTTTGGGCACAGAACTTCTGCACACTCTGTGGTTTGAGGCCCTCAGTACCCAAAACATGCTCAGAACCCTTTAGTGATAGGAAGGATTTTGGTAGGAACCTTGACTACAAGTTATTTTCACTTAAAATCTAAACCTGACTTCATCTTACCTTGCCTGGACCATTCAGAGGACTGTGATTCTTTTTTCTTTGAGGAAATTTCTTATTCTGTAGCCCACAGCAATTTCTTATTCTGCTGGCCTCACAGCAATCCTGCCTTAACTACTTTTTTTTTCTCTTTAAATTTTTGTTTGTTTTGACACAGAATATTATCATGTAGCCCTGGCTGGCTCAAACTCACAGAGATCCACCTGCCTCTGCTTCCTGAATGCTGGGATTAAAGGTACGAATTACCATGCCCATGCCCAGCCCCTTTTTTAATTTTTAAATTTATGTTTATGAATGTTTTGCCTACATGTATGTAAGTGTACCATATGCATGCTTGGTGCCTGAGGGGGCCAGAAGAAGACATTGGATCCCCTGTACGAGTTACTGATGGTTGTTAACCGCCATGTGGGTACTGGGAACCAAACCCTGGGTCCTCTATAAAAGCAGCAAGTGCTCTTGACCACTAAGCCATTTCTTCAGCCCCCATCCTCCTGCTGGAGATTGAGTGCTGGGATTACAGGTGTGAACCACCATATCCAATTTGTGATCCCTCTTAACAGGATGACTGGTAAATGCCACCCAGGCCTCTTGCCTATGCCCCACAGACGCAGGATGTATCCACTGGGCCTTCTGACCTATATACCTCCTCTGAGGAAGGGGGGGCACTATTTCAAGGTCTCTGGGGCCAGCTTTAAAGTAGACACTAGCAGGAACTGTACAATGTTCCTCTCCTGGGAGGGCTTCATCCCTTCTGGAGCAAACTGGGCAGAAGATGGTGGGTGAGCAGATGGAGTTTGGGCATGGGCAGCAGTTGCCTATATGTTTGATTGCACATCTGGTGCTGATGCATACAGGTGTGGTAGTGTATGTGTGCATGCACTCAAGTTCTAAGATGTGTTTCTTAGATGTGAGTGGAGTCTCTTAGCAGGAGTCTGAGAACTCCTGAATGAGGATGTCTGTGTGTGAGAGTGTCTCTGGGTACCTGTGTGTATCCATGATTGAGTGTGTGGGTGTGAGTTTGCATGAGTGTGCCCTGGAGGCGTGCCCTGGTGGGGAGGCCAGCCCTCAGGCAGGGGGTGCTCGTGCCAACAGAATAAACACCCATTAGGAGGCCCGGTCATGCCACCAGTGCAGTAATTGTGCCCAGGGAGGGTTGTAAAAACCATTAAGCTGACTCAGTTGGGTGAGAGGCGGTGGCGGGGGAGCCTCCTGCCTCCCACCTCTGGCTCAGTTACAGGCTCTATGACTGCCCCGGCCCAGCACGGGGGCTGACTGTAGGTAGAGCCACCACTCTGGCTGGTGGATCTCCTTTGCCCTCACTCCTTGGCTCCTCTCCCTTTCAGCCCCTAGTTTCTGGTTAATGAAGGATGGCCACGCCTTCCTCCCAGCTCATTTGCCCCAGGGTACAGCCAAGCTGAATCACGCCCAGCAGAACCGGGCCCTGATGCCAGTGTCACTTGAGCTGCTGGTAGTGGCTGCTGCAGTCTTTCTTGGGGACAGCTAGCCTGTCATGGGCTGTTTCAGATGATCTCCAAGGTTCCTGGGGTCACCAGGGAGGATTCTTGAACTACTAGACTGCTTTTGACTCCCACAACAGTCTCTACTAGGTGTCAAGATTCTGTCGTCCCATGGGCAGAGTTAATGGGCACTAGGGACTTTTATTGCCCCATAAACTTGTGGCTTTGGGATGCCAGGGCAGCCCCCACCCCAGCCACTTCCTGTTTGGAAGAGGGATGGATGGTCAGCACTAACAATTATGTCCAGTGGCTGGACACTTCCTCAGTACCATATCCTTGACTCATGGGGCTATGGGACGCCCACATCAGCTGCCTTGGGAATGAGTGCTGCCCACCCCAGAGTCCACTCTGTTCTTGCCTCGAAAAATGACCTCTAAATGGGGAATGAGAGGTGGAAAGGTGGAGGATCTTTGAATTCTTTCAACAGGAAGATCAGAGGGGAACTGTTGATTTAGAAGAAATCTATGTGCCAACTGGTCCAAACTGACATGCTACAGAGGGGGATCTTCAGGTCCAGAGAGGAAGAGTGTGACCCTGGATCACATGAGGAAGCAATAACAGGGCCGATTCCAGCTCTGTTCCACAGCTAAGGGCCCTGCCTAGGTTACCCCACAGGGTCTGCCTCGCCAATGGGGCTAGTCCCATCCTCACACATTCTCTCTCTGAAGTCAAATGTAAACTCAGGTATGAGGGAATGATGCAACCAGCTAAGAACAACAACCAAACCAAAAAAAGCTGTCAGACCTCTTCACTCTTCAACCCCATAAAACAGGGATTACACAGCTCCCAGGAAAAATAATTAAGCCAGGAAGATGAGATGTAGGGAGGGGCAGAGACCATGCCAGGAGTGGGCAGGGAGGAAGGCCTGGTGGGGGGCAGGGCCCTCACTTCCCTTTCTCTGCTCTGGTCCTTGGAGGACCCTGCCACAGCTTTAGGGTTAGGTGAGCTCAGACCCCTACCCCCAGATGCTGGGGGTCTAGAGCAGCCCTTAGGCGGTAATGCTTCTGTTTTTTAGAACTTTCTAGACTTTCCCATTCCTATCCAGGCCATATTAAAAAACCCCTTTGCCAACTCCATCTGGTAGGAACACAGAAGACTTGACTGAACACCAGCTACCAATTGTCAGGCAGGACAATTGAGCAAAATTGGGGCAGGAACCTTTCACTGCAGATGGAACTGACTCCGGATTAGTGCCTTAGTGAGAGCCCTCTGCCTGAGTAAATGAGATAGTATCCACCAAGGTTCAGGTTTTAAGGGAGACATAAGCTTAGCTTTCCTGTACCCACCTTAAAAGATGTCTATGCAAGAAAGCCTGATGTGTGTGCGTGGGGGGGGGCATGTGTCAAGAGCAAGAGGGTTGTGCATGAAGCCAAATAGCTTGACCTAGTAGCTGATCCACCTGCTCTGTGACCTTGGAAGGATGGACTACCCTCTCTGACAAATTTGCCCATCTGAGGGTACCTGTCATGCACCCAGGAGGTTGGACCTCAGCAAGCCCACCAAAGGCACCAACTCTGCCTAGTCAACCCAGAGATGTGACTCCCCAGGATTAGATGAAAAGTTAGGGGTCACCCAGTCTAATCCTGCCTCCCATACAGGAATCTTTTCCAGGGTCATTTGGAAGCCCACTGGGTGTGACCTCTACCTCATATCATAGCCGTTACACACTGAGGATCCCATGGCTTAGTTTCTCCGAGGGTCCTTCTCAGCCTTCTTCCTTCTGTCCCAGGGGTGCTGGGAGAGAATTGGGGTGAGTTCCCTGAAATCCCTTATGTGGGGAATAGGAACTAATGCTGCACAAGGGGTTGGAGAGTCAGCCAGGTCCCTGGGACACCCAAAGACTGTAAGCCCCACACCCCACTTTCAGGCACAACTGTGGCTTAGTGTGCTGCCCACAAAGGCAGATGCTAATCTCACTCTGGAAGGTGATGGGTTCCAGCACCCCTGTCACCTTGGAGACCAACTGCAACTTGGAATTCCTCCAGCCCCAGAGCACCCAAGGCTGGGAACAATCTCATATCTTCTCTTTCTCTCCCAATTTGGAGTAGGTATCTGCCCCCCCAAAGCCTGCTAGGACCAATGTTACTCCATTCCCCCATCTGAAGATTTGGATTCAGCTGCTGAGTAACCTGGGGAGTAAGTAGCTTGAGCTCTCTGTTCTCCACAGAATCCTCCACTTTTTTTGCTACTGAGGCTAGAGCCCAGTGTCTGATCCACAGGAGACAGTGCTCTGCCTGAGCCACACTCCAGCCCCAGAGCCCCTTGGGAGTTCTGCCCTTCAGCATGAACACAAGGGAAAGCATATTGAGGCCAAGATCCTCCCAGCTCTCATGAGAACCCCTCTCTACTCAGACTCACCTTGAAGTAAGGGAAGTGCTCCGTCATAAAATTGTAGATTTCACTGACTGGGAGGCTTCCAGTTTTACTGTTCTTAAGGGCCATGAAGATGAGGATGCTGAAGACACAGAGAGTACCCCTGAGAGTCTGATTGTCTGACCAGGGCCCCACCTCCCCTAGTCTTCCCTTGGCTGAGAGGCTCTGTTAGGTTGAAGTTGAATTATATGAGGGGCTCATGGAATCTGAGAAACCAGATTGCTATCTGACTTAGCCACTTAGCACTCACTAGCTGTGTGAGCTTGGGTGAGTGTCTGAATTTCTCTTAGCCTCAGTTTCTTCTGCTTTGAAATAGAAAACAAAACAAAACAAAACAAAACATAGTAGCTCCCTCAGAGTCTTAGAGAATGAAGGTTTCACACACATTACATCATTATGTGGAAACAATCATGACCATTCGGCCCTCAGTGAGTGTGCAAATGTTGGATCATAGGGAAGGAATAAGACTTCTTGAGCCCTTGCAATGTGTTAGAGACTGTCTTGCCCACTTTCTCTTGGTTAAATCTTCCAACAGCCTGAATTTCTGTCTCCTTTCCCAGATAAACAAACAGAGCTTCACAGCTAGTAAATGTCAGAGCTGGGCCTTCTCTGTCTGGGAAGAGAGGGGGAAGCTGTGAGGTCCCTCATCTCCCCTAAACTGAGGCCTAGGATGGGACCTCACAGACCCACCCACCCAAGGTGCATCTGCTGGGTCCAATCAGAGATAAGACTCCCTAGGATCTGACAAAAGGTCAAAGATTACAGATCTACTCCCCATCCCCTGCAGGAATCATTTTTCCAGCATCCTTGGAAGGTACTGGGTATGACTTCTAATGACTTTTATATATTTAGGCTTCTGTGCCTCCCCAAAGGCCCTATATAATAGCTCCTTATTCTGCCTCAGTAGTGCTGGGTCATGTACCTGTAGGAGTAGATAGGTTTGGGAAAGAGTGGCTGGTGCCCATCAGCGCTGGCCTGGGGTGCAATCCTCTGATATGGATAGTGAGCAGAGCCAAGGTAGGGCACAGGGTAGCTACCTCCACCTGGAGAGTACTGTAGAGATTGAAGGGGACAGAGTGATCACCATGGTTCCCAACCTTCCCAAATGGGGTTCTTTTCCTCCATTCACATACATCCAGAGAGGGAGCTGAGGCTAAGATTAACCTCATGGGCTCCATACCCAATAACACGGCTGAGGAGTGGGCAGGGAGCTGACCTTTTGGGCTTGGGCAGAGATCCACACTCCAGAACCCAAGCTCTCAAAGGCCTCCAAGCTGCCTTCTAGCTTTTTCCTCTCAAGCCCTTCGGGTACTCTGGTTGCTATGGTGATGGGATGGAGATCCACCTGTAGTTCCTGGACTTTCCAGGCTGGCACTTTAGGCCTCCCATACCTCTCCTGGAGCTCAGGACCGGAAGAGGGATGTCCAGCCTGGGTGTGTGCTGGGCACGGCCACCTTTTACAAGTTTCAGTGGCTCTTTGAAAGAGCTGGTCATGGTGGTGGGCAGGTAGGGGTAGGAGGTGATTTTACAGTGAAGGGAGTGGCTGCAGTGCCAGGGATGGTGTTTTATGGGGGCTGGGGGTTGGAGACTCTGACTCCCCAACTGCTCCAGGCTGAAGTGCTCTTTCCAGGTCACCGAGAGACACTTAGTGCCTGAGTCACCTTCTCTCCAGGCTCCATAAAGCCCTGGGTGCGGCCATCTTGTTTGAGGGGTTTGAAGACTGCAGAGGGCATCAAAGCAAGGCCAAGCACTATGAGGCCAATTAAGATCTGCTGTCCACTGTCATCCTGTGGTGGCTTGGTCCCTATGTGACCGATACATCTCCTACTTTGGGTCAGACAGGGAGCTTCAGGAAAGCTTAGGCCCCTGCAGCCAGGCCCTCCTGAGAAGGGAGGATGTCCCCTCATGTCATATGTCCCTCTGCTCTTTTCTGTTACTTTCTATTCCCAGAGCAGGCAACTTGACCCATCTCTTCCTCAGCTTGCCTTTTGGCTTGGCTAGGATCAGGGCCAATGCCAGAGCTGGGAGTAGAACCTGCTCCACAGGCAGGGCCTGTCTGAGTGCCAGGCTGCAGGTGGATGGAACTGGGCGCTGGGCAGCCACTTGCTCTGTCTTGCCCGGTGACTCCAAAGGAACTGCCTGGCTGCTCTGGGGCTCTTTCTTTCTCTTTAAAAAGCTCTCCATCCCTTGGCAGTGTGGGGCAATTAGTTGGCATCTCATCCATTTGGGAAGGGCTGAAGTGGGCAATGGGGTGGGGAAGGGCCAAAGATGGTAAGGAGTTCTTTGGTGTGAAGATGCCTCTAGCCCCACACTTGGTGTCCACCCAGTCTAGACCAAACGGAAGTTTAAGGACAAGGTCATATGGCAAGGTGTGACCTAGATGGGAGCCCTTTGTTCCCTGCCCTGCTCAGCCTGTGTGTCACACCACACACCCCTTTCCTCTCTGTCCCTTCTGTCTGGGATGGCTCTTCTCCTCCTTTCTTCCGTTGGTTCACTTCATGACTCTGCCTCAGTTTTAGCCCCACTTTCTGTTTGAGACTCCCCAGCCTCTGCCAGGGGTTCAGAGAAGTCCTGAGTACCCCTAGAGAAGATCAGTATCATTTCTCTTTCCACTAACTACTGCTCTCCACATGATGTAGCTCAGCCAGAGGTTCAGGACTCTGCTATCCTTACCTGCCCATGCTGACATGCGCACACACTCACACACACACTTGTGTGTGTGTGTGTGTGTGTGTGTGTGTATATATATATATATAATATAGTGATACCCACATAACCTCCTGAGAACCCTGGGAGGCATACCCTCTTGCCCCAGACCCACCTGATGGAAGGGGGGTTGGGAAGGGCAGTACATGTGTTGCAAGGGAGGCTGGTAGCAATACATCCCAGGACCACTGTCCAGAGCTGGGGGCTTGACCTTGACTTCTGACCCCTGCTGGAAAAGAAAGCAGATGGTGTTGTTTCCCCACTTCCTCTTCCCCTTGTTCTGAACTTCACACAAAAGCACTCTTTCCTCTGATTCTCCCAACTCTGACTCCTGGGGAAGGTCAGGGAACAGAGAAGGATAGAGGCTTTCCAAACTCAACAAGTCAGTGATGGGCTAGGCCGGAATGGATAGTTTCCTATACCTTCGCTGCAGGTGAGAGGCACATATTAGATTGTCAAAGAGGTAGGGGAAGCCTATCAATAGTCACATAGGCTTAGGTGGAACTGAGATCTTGGGGAGGCCTTTGTGGAGGCCCCATGTCCTTAGGGCCTATCACACAGCTGAGCCTTGAGTGGAGACAGCAAGGGTGTGCAGCTAGGTCCTGGCAGGTAGACAAACCAAAAGGGATTGGATGTCTCTTCCTTGGATTCCCAGGGGCCTTGGGAAACCAGCACCTGAGCCCAAAGGGACAAAAGCTAACAGTGACCTCTTTCTGGATTTGCCTCAGGGACACTGTTGTAGAGATTACCATAATCACAGAATCTTGGGCCTGGAAGGGCCAGGAACACCACTGTTCAACCCCTTCATTTGACAGATGATGGGGCTGAGCCCAAAGAGGGGAAGTCACATGGCTCAAGTTACCCAGAGAGTCAACTGCGCAGTAGTGGGCCCTCTGGGTGTAGCTCCATGGTGCCAGGTAGCCTTGAATTTCAGCTGCTCTATTTACAGACTGTGGATACCCTGGCAAGTCACATGGTTTCAACCAAAGAAATCAGGTCCTGATTTGCAAGATGGAGAGAGTGGGGGCTCTCTAGAAGGTTGTTAGGATTAAATTGAGCCCCAGAAAGAAAGCATCTTGAAGAACGAGCAGGAGTGGCACTGAATGGACACTGGGGAAGAGTCGTTGGTATGTTGCATGCCTCTCTGTGGCTGCTGCCATGTTCAAGGGGCCTGACAAGCTGTCAGGGCACCAGATCTAGGACCTCTCCATCTTCCTTCCTATTGGGAGTGGCTGAGTTATAATGGGCCTGTTTGGAAGCAGGAGGTGAGGAAGGCTGGTGGGCGCCTGGAGGAGATGGAGCCCAGGCCAACCCCATTCAGTCATTGCTGTGGAGACCTCCAGACCTGCTCCCACAAGAGAGCAGGAAGCACACAGTTTTTTTGCTTCCTAAAGGGACAGTCCTATGAGACAGGGACCTTTAACCAGGAGTGGGGCTCAGAGAAGTTGAGTGACTTGCCCTAGGTTACACAGCTTGCAGGTCTGATTGTGGGACATGCCAACTTTCTAAGGTGTTTCCAAGGCAGTTAGATGAATACATGGAGGCCTGCTCTGAACAAAGAATAGAACCAAGAATATATGTGCAAGTCTAGCACTATGGACACTAAGGTAGGAGGATCGTAAGTTCTAGGACAGCCTTGGGCAACACAGCTAATTCCTATCTCACACACACAAAATAAATAAAAAATAAAAGTAGGGCCTGGAAGAGGCCTGGAGATGCCTTAAGAGGTCTTATGAAGTCTCTCAACTCTGCATTGGTTTGTAGGGGGCTTGTCTCTCTGGAATGTATTTTCCTCTTTACATTTGCATATGGGCATGTTAGTCTGGCAGGGTGTTCTTGACCCTTAAACCAACAGAGAAGTCACCCTCTGGAATTCTGACTCAGAGCCTCTGGGAAGCTGCCAGCTTCCTTCCCCTGACGTGCTTCCCCCACCTGCCCCTTCTATGCCCACCAGGCTACATCTCCTCCTCAGGTGACCAGCAGGCTCCTGAGTCTTTGCACTTGTTGCTTCCCTGGAGCTCTGATCTTGAGACAAGGTCTCAATATACAGTACAGGCTAGCCTCCAACGTGGGCAATCCTCCTGCTTCAGCCTTCCTAGTACTGGGATTACAGGCATGTACCATCATGCCCAGCTTAGAAGATTCTTCCTAGACAGCCAAGAGAAGAGATGGGAGGCACTTGGCCACTAGTACTCACCAGGACTTGGCTGTGCTCCTGGCTGGAATAAGGGAGCCCATTGCACCAGGCCTCTGCTGAGAAGCCAGGCAGGAAGGCCTCAGCCTCCCCCACATCCACGGGGATCTCCTCAAAGGCCTCCAGTGCCCCTGGAGTCTTAAAAGAGTGTCCGTCGAGGGCCATGGCTGTTTGGGCCTCGGGGAAGATGTCCTCATGGAAGTGCCGCTTGTATGGGTGGAAAGGCATGTGGTTGCCTTTGAGGAAGCGCCCTGGGCTGTCTGTGGAGCCCTCCTCAAAGCTGAAGCCAAGATACTTGTCTGAGGGAGAGAGGCTGAAGGGGCCCAGGCCTGGTCCAACTGCGCAATGGCCCTGGACTTGCTCGGGGCTTGGTGATGCAATACTTGGGCTGTGAGGGGGCAGTGAAGGAGCCTTCTCTGGAGGACCATCGGGCACAAATGATGATGAGCAGGTGAAGTTGGCATGCTTCTGGGTAGACAGAGGTGAGAGAATTCATAAATGGAGATTGACCAGGGGACCTGCCAGGACCCCACTCTATGCTGAGATAATAGAGCCTGTGGCTAAGTTCACAGGAGGAATCAAATGATGGCAAAGACACAAGCTGCCCTAAGGAAGCCCAATATGATAAGGGCATACTGCCCCTAAGCTTGGGAGGCCCCAAGACTGATGGACCTCTACACCTTGCCCTAGGAAACCCCAAACAAAAGGAATGAATAGAGATTAATATCTGAGCCCTTTTGGGTCTCAGAGGCATTAAGTACTTGTTTGCTGGTGGAAGGGACAAAGTAGACCCTGGAAAGTTCTTGTGTGGGGCAATGACTGTCTACCTGCTGCCCATATACCCAACCAGGCCTGTCCCAATGCCAGGCCTAGGTGCCAGGTACTTACGCTCTGTGGGGCAGGGGAGCCTGGGAGGCCCGGAGCCTGCATGAGGTTCCCTTGGGGCTCGCCTTCCAGTCGGGTAGGGCCTGGCAGTGAGACGTCAGACTGTGGCGGGAGTAGGGACACCATCACCCAGTCCTGGCCTCGAAGAAAGCCGGCTACAGTGAGAAAGAGGACCAAGGTCTAGGGGTGACCAACCCCAGGCCCACGAGTTCCACTTCCACCCCTTTCTTGGGCTGGGATCCTGTCTGCAGCTAACCATCTGATAAGGCAGAGAGGGAGATATAGGGATGGAGAGAGGAGAGAGGATTGAAGAGAGGAGAGAGAGAGGAGAGAGAAAGGTGAGCCAGTCATGGTAGTACATTGATACATGCAGGTAGGCAAATGTTGAGGAGGATGAAGCAGGAAGATCATGGGAGAGAAATGAGCCAGATAGGCCCCTCAGAGGAGTTTCATCTGTTCTCAAGCTTTGCTGGTTCAAGTGAAACAGTGAGCCCCTGGTTCCTGGCGAGGCCTGGGTACTTGTTTTCCTGTGCCTGTAGGCTAGGTGATCCTATTCATCTAGCTGGGAAGGGCGGGGGCGGCTCTGTGTGTGTGTGTGTGTGTGTGTGTGTGTGTGTGTGTGTGTGTGTGTATCGCGGGGGGGTATGTGAGGGGGTGATGGAACGACCCCACTATGATAGAGGGTGGTGGGTATAGCTATCTTTTGTCTTTGTGTGTGTGTGTGTGTGTGTGTGTGTGTGTGTGTGTGTGTGTGTGTAGCTAGGAGGTATGTCAGGGCTTGATGGACAGCAACTCCAATGATACAGAGTCTGGGTCTTAGAGATCTTGCTTGTGGTGCCCATGGGGTATCTGGCAAATGATGTTTTTACCTGCATCCTTCAAACTTTTATCTGCGCGACTTTGTTCCAATCATTTCCCCTTTATGTTTTTCTTTTCTTTTCTCCTTTTCTCTCCTCTCCTCTCCTTTTCTTTTTCCCTTTCCTTTCCCTTTTACCCTGTCCTCTCCCCACCCCTCCTATTCCATACATGGGGCTGAACTCAGTGCCTCAAGTCCCCCAGCTACCCCCTCATCCCCCACCACCGCCACTTTCTGAACTCTTCACTTTGCACATGAAAAGCTGAGGCTTGGACTAGATCTGAGGGCTGAGACCTTCGGAACTGTAAGAGAACCTTGACCCCAGCACCATGGAGTGCCTTGAAGACCTGGGGTTCAGTTCCAGGCCCTTCATTCCCAGCTGTGTTAGCAAAGCACTCTGCACTTTCATAGCAGCGCCTGGAAGCAGGACAAGTGATAGGACCTCACGCAGGGTGGAAAGAAATCATGCAGAGAAAGCATGGAGCCTGGTGCCCAGCAAGGCCAGGGCTTGATCCCTGTCAGCTCTTGTTGCTAGTAGAATTATCTCTCGTTATTAGTAGAATTGTCTCTGTAACTCTTTTATCATCAGCCTGTCCCTTTACCTCCCTTCACCCCTGCAAAGGCATCAATAACCCTTAAGTTTATACCCATTGTCCCAATGTTCTCTAACAACAGTCACCATTTTCTGAGGGCCTGCTTGGACTGGCTACTGTGCAACACTTTGGATGGTCTTTACTAAGCCAAGGATGACCTTGACCTCTTTTCCCTACCTTCCCAGTGCTGGGATTACAGCCATGTACCTCCATGCCATTTTGTGCTTAAACCCAGGGGTTCTTACATGCTAGGTAAGTACTTTACCAATTGAGCTATATCTCCAGCCCTTGTTCTTATTTTCTGAGATAAGGTCTCATCGTGTAACCCAGGCTGGTCTTGAACTCATTATTTAGGCCAGTCTAGGCCTGAACTATTGGCAGTCCTCTAGCCTCAGCCTCCCAAAGGCTGGGCTTATGGGTGTGAGCCACCATGCCCACCCTCCTCAGTGTTGTTCATTGGTTTATTGAAGCAAGGCTGTGAGGATGGCTCATTATTAATCCCACCTTTCAGATGATAAAACTGAGGCCCAGAGAGGCTTTGTAACTTCCAAAGTCACACAACCAATCCTTAACAGAGTCAGAACTTGAAGCCATGCATGTTGACACACACCTTTAATCCCAGCATTTGGGAGGTGGGAGCAGCTAGATCTCTGTAGGTTCAAGGCCAGCATGATCTACATAGTGAGATTCTGTCTCAACAGAAAAAGGGGTGAGGGTGGATGGAAAGATGTCTCAGTTGTTAAGAGCACTGGCTGTTCTTGCAGAAGACTGGGGTTCAAATCCCAGCACCCACATGGCAGTTAACAACTGTCTGTAACTCCAGATGCGGGGGATCCGATACCCTCTTCTGCACTTCAAGGGCACTGTACAATACGGGTGCACTTATACATATGTAGGCAATATACTCATACACATTAAATAAAAATAAATCAATCAAAAAAAAGAAGAACTTGAACTCAACTTTTGGATAGCTGGCTCTAGCTCCTCTCTTGGCTTCTACATTTGATGAGAGTCAGAGCCTGGTGGGATGTGCCAGGAGCTAGGCAGCACGAAAAACCAGAGGTTTCCACTTAATCCTCCTACCCAAGACCTCTCAAGCCACTGCAGGGCAGCTGTGCTGTTCTTGGAGCTCTGGGAGACAGGGAGGGCCTCACTGGCCTGAGCTTTGCCCAGTCAGGGGTTGATACAACTTTGTTGAATCAGCCATCTATGGAGAGGCTAATGGGGATATGAAAGGAAGGGAACCTGTCCAAGGTCCCACAGAGATTCAGCCTGGGAGGGGGTTGGTAGCTGAGAGCCAGGTGGGATTCTGGAGAGGGAAGGCTCCCCCGCCCCCTCAAGAGTCCCCATTGCCCCGTCTCTATGTCCCAGCGCTGGCTCGCTCCACAGTGCTAAATGTGGCATGACGGGGAAGCGTGGAGCTGGCCGTAACTGGACACCTCAAGGGAGCATGCAAGAGGCCTCTCAAGGTGCGGGACAGCCTATCTCTGGCTTTGCATGACTGCTGGCCTGGCCCTTGCTCCCTTCACAGCTCCTTTTGGACAGCTTGGGTCTGCCTGCCACACCTCTCCCTGGCCCAGAGCTGTCTTCCTGGGAGGTGGCGCCATGAACTTGGCGCCTTCCAGATGCAATCCCAGCCCCTCCAGGTGTGAGGCCAGAGGCCCTTTCCCCCAGATCTGAGGCTGTGCAATGGGGGATGGGAGAACATTGGTGGTTAAGAGCAAGGCTTTGAACTTGGGTAGATCTGACTTCAAGTTCCAGCCTTGTCACATTCTGGCTGTGTGACTTTGAACACACTGTGTAGTCTTGTATTTCACTTTCTTCATCTGATAAGTGGGATATGTGAACCTATCTCACTGGGTCCTCAAGAAAATTAAGTGATATGATGGGTAAGGTGTTGGCACCCAGAAAATGCTCAGGGACACATGGCATATATCTGGCCTCAAGTGGCCAAATGTGACTGAACCTAAGGGCCTCTGACCCCAGACTCTATAGTTTCCTTGGTAGTCTTGCTCCTTCCAGCCTGATAGCCCAGGGAAGAGGGGCTAATGACACTGTTTGTAGATGGCAGCTGCCCTTGTTAGACCTCCTCTCTGCCTGTTCATCACTCAGCATGGCCTTTGGAGGCTGAGACGTAAGGTCTACTCCTTTACAGACTTGAACCTGCTGGGAACCACCCTGAGCTCCAGCTCTGCCTTCTTCTCCTGAAGGTCTTCTTTGCCCAGAAGCACCCCTACCACTCCCCATCCTTGCCTCAGCCCTCTTCCCAGGTGGTGTTATCTACAGAAGCTCTGGCTCAGATCCTACATGTCAGGGGCCTTCTGTTCACAGCCAGGACTTTCATATCCTGGCTTGACCAAACCACCACCCCATCTCCTCTAAATCCTTAAGAGACTGAGAGCTTGTCTCTGCAGAGCTTAAAGGCCTGCCCCTTAGTTTGCATGGAGGATGAAGAAACCCCAGAGTGGTCCTCACCCAGGCTTTCTTCTGAGTAGATTCTGTAAATGATGACTCCTGACTCAGTGTACATGGTGTCCCCTTGGTCCCTAGAGCTAAGGGTCCCATAAAGAGATAAACTGACTCTTCTAAGAGCACACAGCTCAAAAAAGATGGGTCCCTCAATCAACTTTATTCTAAAGAGTGCACCTGCCTCAGGGGCTGGACAAAGGGCCTCCTTTTGTTGTTATTTTGGGAAGGTCCTTCCAGCTCAGGAGGGCTCACTATGGGGCGAGAAAGAGGCATCCTGGCCCAGCCTCTTTCTGGAGCAGTGGTTAGAACTCTTAAAACCACTGAATTGGAGTTAGATGTCTGAATCCTAATCATGGTGAGAATTTGGCTGGACAAATTGCTTAACTTCCTTCCCTGGGCCTCAGTTTCCTCATCTGTAAAATAGGGCTAATAATACATACCTCTCTGGGGGATTAGATGAAATATTGCTTGTAAATAGCTTAACATACAGTACGTGCTCAATAAATGATAGCTATTATTAATAATTAGCAGTGGGACAGAGTTAATTTAAGGCATGAGTTCTGGTGTGGGGGAGGGAGCTCCTCTTTCCTGCCTCCTAGCACCATCTCCCTGACATCATCTTCCTCCACTGGCAGTGGCTGAACTTCCTTCCTCTTGACTCTGGCCTCCACGGCCATTTCAGTCATCTCCCTGCAGTAGGGCCAGTGGCTATGGAAACTTGCATGGACTGGAATGGAAAGGTTAGGGTGGCTCTACTGCTTTGGATCCCTCAGGAGGCCATGGTGGCACCAGTGTCCTGACTCTGGCATCTGAATTTGGAAGGACTATTTCACTGCCATCATACCTCCACCTTACCTCTTCTGGTTTCAGGGAGCACAGTGGGACGTGTACCAGTATCAACAAACCGACTTCCCTCTCTTATCTTTTCCATTCCCTTCCCCTCCTCTCTTCTCGCCTCCTAAATTCTGAATCCCCAGAGCTGGCCCAGCACACGCTCATGACCCCCCTTGGTGGGCTGGAGGCCAGTGCTCTAGAAGTAAGATGTGCCCCAAGGTCCCTTCCGTGGTGAGACTGTGCCCATTGCAGACCCATCCCTTTGGAGCCCTCTGAATTTCACCCTTTGCATTTGCATCATTGCCTTATTTTTGCTTCCCTTTGCCCCTAAGACAGTGATGTGGCATGCTGGAGCCTGCTGGCACAGGCTTTGGGGAGCCAAGTGCACCCAGCTCTTCCAATT